TTGCAGCTTGTGATAGAATAAAAAACACGAGTGCGCAATTCCATGAGCAGGAGTACGGAAGCATGCATACTAAGTGAAGGGGGCGATTTTCAACAATTTTTGTAATCATTCCGTTGATTTTAATGTTATGTTTATGTTGTCAGTTGTTGTTATTCGTTACGCCTCATGCGTTTAATTTTTCCAATTAAATTAATAATAATTTTGTAAATTAGACAATAGAACGGTTTTTATTGTTTACTCAAAAACGGCGCATCGAAGGAAAACAATTCAAGAGAGATCATTTGTTTTGAATTGAACGGGAAATTCAAAAATAATGTTCATTTGGCAAAAAACCATTGGCGTACAATTTTTTTCTTAAACAATATCGAATTCAATACCCGTACGCACGCCACTGTTAAAGCTAAAAATTATTTTGACATTGAAAAATATGCCACTTTATTAACTTTCACTACGTACTAAATATCATTGAAATATCTGAGGCGGTTCTGAAAATATTAATTAATTTCCATTTTTTCCTAAAACTTCAACACCCCGAGTTTTTGTAAGGAAAGATTTTTGGACCATAGTTTATAAGGTAAACTAACATTAATTTTTCATGTAGATTCACACCCTTAAATATTCGCATATCATTAAGGAATACCCTGTATGTTATGGAGCTTAAGCCATACCTGTGTCAATATGATACAAATGTGTCATGCTTGACCCGATGCCCTGTCGCTCAAAATATAATTGAATAGCGGCCCAAAACTAAAAAAAAATTTAGAGGTTCAAGCTTTCCCCTCTGGGTATTTTGCGGTGACCTTAAGAATCCTGAAAGTCAAACCGAGGTTAGGGCAATTTTTTAAATGGAACCAACTGTTGGCTCTGGAAGAAAATTTTAGATGTGATCTTTGGTGGAAATTAGTTCGTGCTTGAGAGTCCCAAGCCAACTTTATGTTATGTGAAAGGTTCCGCTCAGTTTCCGACATCTAGGGTACGATGCAAAAAAAAGGCTAGACTTCGATTTGACCGTCATCGGTTCCACCGTTTCAAAATTACAAGTGGTAAGGTTCTTATTTTTGCTTTATATTTACAAAGATCCTTAAAATTTTGTTATAAGCCGGATTTTTACGGTGACCTTGACAAGGACATTCCAGGTTAAAGTAATTTGCAAACAAAATTATAGCTAAACGTAAAAGTTACCATTCTGTCTATGCCGGCATCAAAGGTATGAAGTATCATTAAAGAAAATTGACATTGATTTGATGATGAATGACCTTGATTCATGTCACGTATTTCCGTCGATTTGTCGGCCAATCTATAGCGCATCTATAACTATAAAATACCGCTCGGACTTCGATAAAAATTTTACATAATTCTACTACTATGCAAAGATAAAAAGCCTTTGTAGCTTTTGAAAACCGCAGTGGCGATGTGGCTAGGGACAAAAAACAAAAAAAAAATAAAATCACTGAAACCTTTTGATCATATTCAGAAACATTTTTACTGATGACAGCGCTGCGTTGGAAGTTCAGAATCAGCCTTCTTGACGCCTTTTTATAATGCAATCATGAGTTTACCATCCGCACTATGAGGAAAATGCAGCGCATATTATTGCGTCTACGTGTACATCTGTATAGTCCAAAATCTCTTAATGCCCTTCAATATGATACCGAAAATGTGATTTTCTGTCAGTACAAAGAGCAAATTCCCCACAAATCCAGAAAGTAATTCCAGGAATATATTTGAGTCCTTTATGAAAGTCCCGACCCAGGCTTGCCCCTGAATCAATCGGCTTACTCTGTGCACGAGATAAAAAAGGAGGCGCACAATTTCGCAAAGGTTTCCTAGTCACGGTTCGGAGCATCTCTTTGCAATGAAATCCGTATTTCAGATTTTTAATTTCGAAAATGCTGCCTGCAAATGCTCGGTGGGGTGTCCACGATATATCATGTTCGTTATGACTGAACAATCAGATTGCCTGAGCGCTGGAGATGCCTGCAAAGAAAATTGAAATATGCAGAATATTTACGAGGGGTCTTAGACAATCTACTCTAAAGATAGTCCCAGAAGTAACAATATGTTACTCATAAATTCGAAGTTGCCTTCCAATATAGCTCAGACGCCGTTTGTATTGAGAACGGTGCTGCAAATCGGGGTATCAGCTTCATTTTGGAATTCTTACAGTAATGTTAAAGAACCTGTCTCTGAATTAAAGAGAAAATATGTAGTGATTTTATGCTTATGATGTAGTAAAAAAATGGCGTAAAGTAGGTTAACCACGCAATGCCGTCACTAGTTCATACAGGATTCATGTCAGTGTTATCTAAATCCTCTGAGAAAAAAAGCTACAAACATGTAAAATAGAAAAAGGAAAATTGGAATGATCAAGTCGGTCAAACTGCCTCATAAAATTAGTCCATAGACATTATTTTCCTGCTTTACCGGTAGTTACTGTTCATCTAGCAACGTTGTCCCTTCCAACATCAGTGTGGCATCCCCTACCGCGGCACCGCTTCAGCGAGTTATCGTTGACTTCGAGTATATGTTTTAAGTTTTGAGCGCTGCAGTAGGGATAGATTAGTCAGCCGGACCGGCATGCCAGGCGGTGAGCTTAGATAGCAGGAGTACGCGGATTGGAAACATGTCTCTGTCATTCTAGTAACAAGTTTTGAAGGCAAATGTACGGGGAATTCTATGATGTTTGGAATATGGGTAATAGATGCATAGAATTATCGAGATTGGGAGCGTATAACATCAAATGTTTTCGTATACCTTAAAAAAACCGTGATATCTTATTTTTCGTGATTACAGTAAGTGTGGGGAGTAAAAGACGCAAGGTCTTTGCAAAAAGTTAAAGCGGAGGAAGCAGAATGAGACAGTTTTAAGTTTTTGAAAATGATTTTGAAAACCGGGTCCCCCGAGAAATTATTCGAATTCCAAAAACTGTATCATCTATTCTGACTGATTGTGCATGCGGATAAGAGGCTAGCACTTAGGCTTAAAAATTGTGTCATATACAGGGTGTCCCAGAAGTCGACGTCAAGCCGAAACCGGGTGATAGGCAAAGTCATAACGCTATCAGAAAAATATTTAAAAAAAATTTATGTATGTATTTTGAAAATTATAGGTTTTTGAAAAAAATATAGAAATTTCACACCCTACGGCAGTCTGTCAACTCCTGTTACTACAAATATTAACTTTTTTTTGATTTTATTTTTACAATGTAATGATGAATAATTCATCTTCAAACTGGTGTCTCAACCTTACTGCCAACTTTTCTCGTTCAGGAAAAATTGTCACTTATTTCCCAACCAAGTATTCCAAAGTAAAACTTTGCTCAACTTTAACTGGCTGTACTGGAAAAAATGTACTACGAGAGTTTGGCGAGTAACCTTAAAAGTTGGCGCATTTAATAACGATTCCAAAATGGTATAACACTTAGAAGATTACTCGTTAACTTATGCACAATTTTTATTTGAAAAAAACTGATGAAAATTTTTCAAAATTTCACAGCGATTATGAAAACGCACAAGGACCCTTAAGGATAACTGTTTGCACAACAGTGGGCGTCAAAATGCTGCTGATGATGATTTACCTTTACAGCAAACGCTCAAACTGTTTTCCTTCAGCCGCAATACACGCTCGACATCTTAAAAAAGATCGGGTTATTAAACGAGCGAATCCACGGTTATTAACAACCTCAGCTGCTTCCAATAGTCTTTGCAGTAGCTCAGCTACATTTTGAATCGGCTTGAAATACACTTTTTCTTTTACAGTTCCCCAGTAAAAAAAATCTAACGGATTCAAATCTGGTGACCGGGCTGGCCACGGTATTGTACCAGACCGCCATATCCATCTGCCTGGAAAGTTTTGATCGAGATACTCTCTCACTGAGAGTGCATAGTGCGCTGGGCAGCCATCATGCTGAAACCACATGTAAATAAGTAAATACTCAGTGGCACGTCCTCCAATAAATTTTCTAAATGATTTTGCAAAAAACCTAAATAAACCTCAGCAGTCAAAGTCTCTGGGAACTCAAACGGACCGATTATTTTACCATTTAAAATTCCTGTATAATGGTTTATCTTGAAGCGATATTGAGATTTATCTTCTCTCATCAAATGTGGGTTTGCTACGTGCCACTCGTGTAAGTTATGCAGGTTCATGTACCCATCTTTCTTAAATGTGGTCTCATCTGACCATAAATTTTTTTCAAAGAACTGTGGATCTTCCCTGTGGCTTTCTAACATTGTGCGACAAAAAGCAACTCGGGGCTCATAATCCCGGGGCAGAAGAGCTTGAACACGCTGTACTTGGTATGGATGGAGCACGTTTTTTTGCAAGATTCTATGGGCTGTACTTTTGGGCACACCTGTTTTTAGTTCTATTGCACGTACTGAAGTACACTGTCCCTGTTTCTTTATTTGTATTGTATTCTTGTATATTCGATCACTGTCAGTCATTTAAAATGTCAATAATATAAATAAAGACTAGAATTTGAATTATCGTATTGTATAACGTTTTCGAACTTTAAAAGCGTTCTCCTGTTTCGCTCCAAAAGGCCTATGGTATCATACAGTTTCAAATTATTTCTTTTTGAAATTGGTTTCAATAGTTCAGAGACAAAAAGCACAATTTTCTCGCAAAATGCTTTTTGTAAAACGCTTAGTTTGAAAAATAAGCGCGAAATCCTGTTTTTGGCCATATTCGACTGCCATCGTTAGAAAAACCGCAGGTAATTAGCATTGCATTTTAGCATTTTAATTCTTCTGGAATCGAATATTTTTATTTTGTTTTCCTATATAGTCATTTCCATCCTTAAATTATGCACCTACAAATTTCAGAAGTTGAACTTAATATCTACATGTGCGAGTGATGAAATGACCGTCTTCAGGCAAGATAGAACGCGAATCAAGGCTGTTACAAACATTTGAACCATAAAAAACAAACAAGAACAGTTTGTCTAAAGTTAAGAGAAGAAAAATGAGTCGGCGCTTATGCAAAAAGGTTCATATCATATGCATAAAGAGCAAATAAAAGCAAAAAAATTTGTAGCGGAAGCAGTTTGTGTAAAAATCCCCTAGCTCTGGAGCATTTTAAACCTCGAATTAGCCGACTGCCGGCTGTACAACATCAAGGTAAAAGTGCTCCCATATGATAATTACTCGAGTACGAGGCATTCCAGAGCTCAGGGCTCGTAAAACAGTCCCGATTTAATTCCACTCCTAATGAGCCTATAAATAAGTCAAAATATGACGTCTTTCTTTTGACTCAGTGGAATTATTCCCTGTGTTTAAATGTGGAGCGGACATTGTAATGCACGTATGGTCCAAGAACAGCTATGATAATGATGTTTTCGATGATAAGCTGAGTTTAAATTCGTATTGAAGGAGGTGCGCTCGACCACCAGTGTGATTCTTGCTAAGGTCGAGTATCTTGATATCTCAGGATGAAACTTTTTTCATAGTTCAGTTCATATACTTCGAAGTTGAGTCATTTATTTTAACAGTGAGTAGATCTGATCAAAAGAAATGTTTTTTTCCTTTACCATTTTTCTGGTAAATTCAAAGTAACAAAGTTATAGCCCTTTGGAAGTTTGAGTACCGCCCTGTCTCAATAATAATATCATGTGCTCGTGTTTGGCAACAACGCATATAATCCGCCTTATCGGTTCATCGCATCGGAAACAAAAAAGCGAAAGAATTTGGAACGATGTTTTTACAATTATTTTATTCAGTTGTATACATACAGTCAGTGTCAGTCGGTAACGCGTGTGAATAGTGGTGTCTGTTGCGTGGCTCAAACGAAATAAAAAATTTGTTAATGTAGTACAACGGGCTCGTGAATCAGGTGACTTAAGACCTCACAGGGGACCTCACGATCAAATACAGGTCCGCACTGAAATACTTGTCGGGAGGATACTTTATAAAACAAGGTAAACATTTTTTTTTTAATTTTTTTTTTATTTTTACACACATATTTTGGTTTATCTTCCTTCTACGTTACAATCATTATCTGAAAATTAATGACTCAACTTCAAAGTCAAGTCATAACAGCATTACAGGTATATCAAAATGAAGATATGGTGTTGATGCACTGTTATTGTGTTCTAGTGCTTAGGATAACTAATATACTGAATCGACCGAAGAAATTACTTTCACGTTCCTTTTTATTGAAGAAATATGCCTGAAAGTGGAAAAACTCGATATGAATGCCAGAGCTCATATTTCTTCATCTGCCGTTTTGACCTGTCTGTCTGATAATGACGTATACCGGGTGTCAACGAAACCGTTTTACAAGGCACTGTTCAATTACTGTTTAAAGAAGAACCTTGAAATTTTGTGTGAAGATATGACATATAAAAACTCAAATTATCCATTAAAAAACAACTGAATATCCTTTTCGGTTTGACCGGAGGTGAGTATGAGACAAGAATTTTAAACACAATCCTGTATATATTTTTACATATTTTCACAAAGCTTAAAATTCCCTTTTCAACACACATCACAGTAAATGGCATTTACGCCAAATTCAGTATGGCGGCGTTTTGACAATACCTATGGATTTTTTGCCAAACTACCAGCTGAAATAAGAGGCAACATCGATTCTTTTGCAGCTTCTGTATTAAATTGGCAAAACAAAAAAAATATCACAAATTTGCGGCTATTTTAGTTTTTGCTTAAAATGTCAAAATGTATTTAAAATTTTCTCAGAAATTTCTAAATACTACTAATAAAATCTGATTATCTCTAAAAAAATGTCCACTATAAGGAACTTGTCTTAGAGGAAAAAAGCTGGAAAATGTTGGAGAGCTATATTATGCATTATAACTAATTAGAAAATTAGTATCTGTTATTACCTAAGCACAGTTAAAAGGTGTTTACCTAGTCACGTGACAGGAAATATCTATGATTATCATTTTTCATTATAATTATTTTGTTTTCTTTTCTTTATTTTAAAGAGCCAGAATTGTAATTATCATCGGGGATGAATATTTCGCTGGTTTGCACGTAGATCTGGGGATGCTTTGGAAACAAATGAAAGGGGAAGCCTTTAAAATTACTGTCAACTATCAGTCTCGTTTCCACGCGTCAGTATGGTTTATTGTGTAATATTTTTTATTTTATTTGTTTATTTCATTTGAAATCAATTTACCTAGTAGTTAACTGCTACAAAGTATAATGCATTATTTAAGAGATCGTCAAATCGACATGCTCCTTATTTATGGTGAATGCCAAAAAAATTCGAGGCGCGCCGCAAGATTATATCGGGATCGGTTTCCAGATCGTCAAGCTCCATCACACGCCTATTATCAATGGCTCCTAGAATATTTGAAAAATGAACATAACGATCCTGTTAATGGTAATGGTTGTATAGTAAGCGAATAAGTCTAAGTAAACGTCCTAGCGTACGTGGAATATGATCGGACTGCTTCTACTCGCGGAATAGGTGAGCAGTGCCAAATTTCCCACGAAAGTGCAAGAAGAATTTTAAAATATCTGGCTTTAAATTTTTTAAGTACCAAATTCATCACCATCTGTTTGAAAATGATTTTGCAAGACGGCTTAATTATTGTAACTGGTTTTTTAATAATCTGAACATAAATGCTGTCTTTCCGTCACCATATTATTTTTTCGGATGAATCCAGGTTTACTAATCTAGGGATGTTTAATTTAAACAATACTCGGTATAGGGCTAAGGAGAACCAAAGGCTAGTGAGAGAAGGTGAACGTTCCGGGAACGTTTTGGAGTGAATGTTTGATTAGGAGTAGCAGGGCTAAATACCATTGGTCCTATATTTTTCTATCAACCGTTAAATGGTGTTATGTACAAAACCAAATAGGATATTTTATAAAAAATCTGCAGAACAAAGAATATTTATTTTACCAGCAGGATGGTGCCCCTGCCCACAAGTCTAGGGTTGTAACTAATTACTTAAATGAGCAATTCGGTGGAAATTGGCTAGGAACCAACGGACCAATTCGTTGGCCTGCAAGGTCGCCAGATTTAACCCCTCTGGATTTTTCAATTTACGGTTATTTAAAATACAAAGTTTATGCCACTCCTCCACCGTCTCTAGAAGTACTGGAAAATATCAAGAGAGTCAGTCAACAACTCGGCGGCCAACTCATAGAACACTTAATTGAATGATTTTTCTTAATTTTTAATTAGTAATTTATCTGCTAAGTTATTTGTTATTTAGTTACTCTTGTTACTCTGCTTTTACTATGCGAATTTCCGTTATTGTTCTTGTTATCGTTAGAAATAAGAAAAATACAAAAGAAACGTACTGTCGAGCATTTTTCTTTCGGAAATAAGACGCTCTTTGTTGTTAGCATTTAGAAAGCTCCGTTTCCTATTCAAAATTCCGAGAAAATCTTAAATACATTTTGACATTTTAAGTAAAAACAAAAATGGTCCCAAATTTATGACAATTTTCTTGTTTTGTCAACTCGTTGTAGAAGCGGCAAGAGAATCCATTTTCCCTCTTGAATTATTGGTAGTTTGGCAAAAAATCCATAGATACTGTCAAAACGCCGCCATATTGAATTTGGCATAAATGCTATTTATGCCGCCTTTTTGAAAAATAATGACAAATTGTGATACATCGCTGAAAAGGAAATTTTAAGCTCTATGCAAATATGTAAAAATATATACAGGGTCTTATTCAAAATTCTTGTTTCATACTCACTTCCGGTCAAACCGGAAGCGATATTCAGTTGTTTTTAATGGATAATCTGAGTTTTTATAAGTCATATCTTCACAAAAAATTTCAAAGTTCTTCTTTTATGATTTCATGCAAGGGCAAGGATAACATACTGGATAATCGGCGTGAAATGTACAGGATAATCTTTAGATGTTATATTTCAAAGAGGCTGTGATTTTTATACCTTTGTTCAAATATTCTCCATGACTTCCCCTCTAAACTTATATAAATTGATGTTCATTTAGTAACCTCTTCCGCTCTCTAGATTTTTTGTTAGAGACTATGTTATCCAATCCAGTAGATAAAACTTGAAGCTTGTCCAATCAACAGAAGTTAGAAGAAGCTATTTTCTGATATCACTTGACTAGAAAGTATTCAATTACATAGATACCACTTCTCCGACAAACATTCAGTTTTTCCTCTAAACGTCGTAGATATTGAGGCAGGCAGAATAATAACAAAAACCGTACAATTTCAATTAAAACGGGACTGTAAGTAATTGACATGATGCGATCCGGCATATTAATGGCCAAGATTTGCCACGCAGAACTACGATTGCACGATTAGTATTCAAAAAGTGATATTATTTGCATTTATCACCAATTTATAATCCGCAGCGATATTATAACCAGTTGCTGTATGGATCCCTCGGCATATTTATTATATTTAATACATTTCCTAGCTTTCTAATTATTCTAAAAGCTTTCTGAACGCCTACCATATAGATTTGTCATTTCTGTGTGGACTGGTAACCGCATCTGGATATTGAGCAATTTTTTAAAAGATATTTGTATACGGTAATTGAAGAACCCAAAATCTGTTCTGCCAGGAGGTATGTCAGTAGCTGCCAGTTTCCGCATTCACCAAATCCATGCGTGTGATTTTTTTAAACCGAAGCATTGTTGTTTACCGCAATTTAGGAAAATCAGAGTAGATTGTTTTTCCAATTGTTCGAAACAGCAGTACTTCATAACAGATATTTATGAGGTTTGCCTTAGTTCCTCCTCTAATTCTTTGCTAAACGATATTTTTTTCACGTAGATATACTTTTAAAGGTTTTTCGCCGCACAATCACGTGTGAGTGTTTGGAAACGCGCTGTTAAATCTTAAGTTATTTCAACTCACGAGCCTTAAACTTATATTCTTACTACCTCTATCCCATAGTAAGAAGGATTATTGCTTACTCGGGGCTATAAACAATGAAAATTATTCACATTGTTGCTGTCTGTCATCAAGACATGTAAGCACACATTTAATCGCCACAATAAGATTCCAAGATTCTGCGTTTAAACTCAAACGTTTACGACTTTCGAACTAGACCCGATAGTATTACAAACATGTCATAAACTTCTAATAATACAGCGTCTTCTCTTTTTGCGTTTATAGCACGCTGAAGAAGTAAAATAGCTCCAGCGAGACAGCTTTATATGCAGCTTATACAGGGTGTCAAAAAGATCAAAGGCTAAAGTATACGTTTAATAGTAATGCTTTTATTATAAAATAATTGGTTCTCTATCTACCTATTATAAAATCAATGTATAAGGCAAACTGTCCTCCAGTTAATGTAGTATACAGTTATATGAATGTGGCATTGTTTTTCTAGATACCGTCAGCATTGCGTTTTTTTGCTATTGGAAGCTACCAAGACAGAAATCATGCCGTAGATCGCGACCGGCCATCTTTCTTGACCGAAATTATGTTGGTAACATATAAAAAAGCATCGTTGCCAAGATGAGCCAGGTAAACTTAAAGCATTTGCACGGCAACGTGAATACTTAAACCAATCATTTAATGCCTTAGGACATGATTCTCTAAGCGTTCTAAGAAAGTATTGCTTTCCAGCTAAAGGAGGAAACTACACTGGCTGCGGGTACTACGGAGCGCTCTGTAGATCCGACTTATTCATAACCAGCCAAGGTATATCGAAACGCTTCGGCACAAGTGGCATCTATTACCAGAATCGACCACTGCCGCAGTGAACAGAATTACCAGTTAAGGTATATTAAATGTTCCCTACGCACATATGTGAACTAGGTACTTGTAACTGTTAGTGTTCGTCATTAGGAAGAAACTAGTTTAATCGCAGAGGGACTCTACTGACCGTAGTCTGTAAACAAGTTTTGCTGCGACTGCTTCTGGATACATTTCGCACAGTCCAACGTTCTAAGTTTCCGATTGGATAATTTATTAATAATCCGTCAGTGCCATTATTGCAGTCAATCTATCCGCTTGCGTATTATCAATTATTCAACTGGACTGTAATATGCCGTGGCAGTATTGTGATATAACAGAATATTGATACCGTTTTAGTTACGAACCTTGCTTATAATTAGCGTTGAATACTCTGTGTATTGATGGGGACTTTGGAATATCATTTGTTTGCAAAATAGTAGTAGTTATAGTAGTAATTACTGTCTCAAGGGCTGTTTTAGCACAGAGAGAGAAACATAAAGGTGAGACAGTATGTATGTTAGGTACGCACATATGGTTAGCACGTCGAGCTACTAATCGGTCGACCCTAGGCTCGCGGGTTCGAATCTCCACCTCGAAAGATGTGTTGACAGTTGCCTTTGTCACGCACCAGGTCGGAAACAGTTAGAGGGTTACCCAGATGGAAATGATCCTCAAACTAGGAAAGAACATCAATGAAGTCGCCTCATAGCCTCATAAGCCGGTGCTCTCAAAACTTTTAAAAAAGTACACATCGGAAGATTGCTGGAAATTGTTGAAAAAACTAAATTAATACTGGACCATTAATTTGGTTTCCGGGAAAAGTATGCTACTATTGAGCAAGCTTACAGAATCATGAATGAAATTTAAGCAGATTTTAACAACAAATGATACTGTTCAGTTGCAATTCTCGATGTTTCCCAAGCATTTGAAAAAGTTTGGTATAAAGATCTGTACTTTAAATTGGAATAACAAACAGCTGCCTTATCCTCATTATTTAGGCTTTAAAAATTATTATGAGCATCTTCATTTGATTGAATCTCACAATTAGGACAAATTATGTGGAATCCAAAAACTTTTGGCCGAAGAGAGGAATTGCATGAAAATGTTTGTAGATTTTGGTAAGTTCTGTAAAAGTACACTTTAATTACCATTTAAGATATCCGGGAGAAATGAATGGAGCCTTATCTATCTATACACGTTTCGGTCTGTTTATTGCTTGAGATATCTACTGCAATGAATGCGGCATTATCAACACACCATAAATGACATAAAAACAAGTGTGAAAAATGCTAGGTGACTTGTGCATGAACCTCGATTCATCTCAGGATGACGGGACGTCAACACAAAAAAGAATCGATTAATAACGAATGTGTAACTGTGTGGCGTACCCTAGATAACCCCCGACTCAAAATTAATAAACGAGATAAAACTGTACAATGTCAGACTCCCATGACAAGAAAAATGATGCCGGGGCGTACTTATCAGCAGTTTAAATCATTAGAGTTAATTATGACATATTTGGGGTCGTTCCTCAAAGGTCTCTACCAATTCGTATACGAGGAGTGCTACAAAGTTTTAACCATTGAGGCAAGACTAGCTTTTTATAACCATCACTTTGGTGGTCAATGTAGAGTTGAAAAATAGTCAGGAAATTGTAGTTAAGAGGCACAGCTATTACGTAGAAATCACCCCACCTGAATCGGTTGACAGTCAGTTAGCCAAAGCTCATCGTTTTCTCAACAGACAGAAATTAGTAAATCTGTCATTATCGCAGAAATTTATAAATAGAACAATTCGAAAAACAAAGCAGTATACCATGTACAGCTGCATATTAAAGGCAGGGTTCGTTACCTGTAAATTTCCGACGATCGAGGTGATACTACTCCCTCCATATCTCGGAATATATAGAATATCTTACTGTCTTCTTTTTTTTATCTTATTTTTGCTTCCTTACTGGTGAGGAAGAGTTGTAATTGCGAGAAACATCGAAAATGAGATATTTTGTGTTTTGGATGTTAAATGACATGTGCATAACGAAAAACAATATCACTCATTTCCATCGGTCTGTCTGTCCGCTAATCCTTGGCCCGTTTGTAAAATACCGGTCGGATTTTGATGAAGTTCCCGCACAAGACAACTACTATGTTAAGGACCAAAAAGCTTTGTAGTTTTTGAAAATCGGTCCAGTGGCAGCAGCGTGAAGGGCAAAAACAAGAAAATTAAAAATCGGTCGAACTTCGTTTTTTGGTTTCAGAGGCTTCTTATCGTTTTCAGAAAAAAAAAATGTAGGGATTGAAAGTCGGGGGTTGAGAGTTGTAGGGTGTAAGGGTATATCTCATCTTTTTGATGGCGATATATTTATCCAACCCCGATAATTTCACTGACCTCTTTCAACATCATAGATTTCCATACTGAATTTGCCTTTAAAACTTGGAGAAATGTTCACAGACTGTACATGCGGTTGGTCGGGGCGGTAAAGGCCTTCATGCACCAGACTGCATCGCTGGCGTTCTAGATCTGGAGTATCGTGGCTGGCGCTTATAGCACGGAGGACCGTTGAAAGATGGTCGATGCTTAAGGCAGGGAAGAAACTAGCGTTAGCATTATTGAATGGTGGAGACTATGGAGTATGGACCAATTCTATGGCCCGTCCGACTGACTTGATCCATTTAATTTTTGTTATACATGTTTATAGCTCAGGAGGACTAACTAGTGTTGAACGTAATCCTTAACTGATGACAACGTTGCTTGGGAAGTGCAGAATCAACCTACTTTACGCCATTTTTTTTTCTTTGCAGACTTGAAGAAGCAGTTCGAAGTGAACCCAGAACCCAAATACATGGTCGAAATCGGCCACCAAGTGGACCTCAAATGCGTTGCTCCATCTGGCATGCCACCACCTCGCGTTTATTGGCTTCGAGGAAATCAACTGCTCCAATCGGATACCGATGTGCTGGTCACCAGCGAAGGTCACCTCCTTATTGGTCAAGCACGACCTCAGGACACCGGGAACTACACTTGTGTTGCAGAAAACATCGCTGCTAAGAGAATGGCTCCTGTATCGCAAATAATTGTATATGGTGAGTATGTAGAGATGTTGTGTTGCATGATTGCTGTAAATAAATGCTTAAACGTCAACTTGTTTTTGTAAATGTAACACAGAGAAAGGACGTGATCCGTGTGACAGACCGTGATATTTCTATATATTTTGCGACGCTGAGTCCGAATTATGAAGGTACTTAGGCATTAGGGGTGTAAAGAAATAATAAATGGAAATATCGTGCTCCAGCATCTGGCAGTCAAAACTCACGGGATATTTTTTACTAATTAATAAAAAATAATCTCTACCTACCCTCTAGGGATAGGGATTATTTCGACCACAAATTCGGATTCAACTTCGAAAAATACGTCAGAATACCATGTTCCAGCATCTGATATCCAAAACTCAATTTTCACCCCTTAAGTGGACCAGGAGATGGATTCTAGACGTCTGGGAACTTTTCTTATCCCGGAATGTTAAAGTTGCCTATAGAGTGCGCCACATGAAATTTGGAAATGCAATTGTCCATAAAGAAATAAATGAGCTTTTTTCAAATTTCTAGTTTCATTAGAAATGTTGAGCCTTAAGAATGAAATACGATATAATTCAAATGACTTTCATGGTCCGACAGTACCTCATCAGATTAATCCAATTTTCAAGTAATTTTCAATAGGGTAGTTGACACTTTTTTAGTGGATCTTAAATAGTTAATATTTCCTCTATTAGTAAAAAAATAATGCTACAGTTTTTGAGACCTAAGAAACCGTAAAACTTCAATTTAAAAACATATTTTTCTTAGACATGTTTGGCCCATAGAATAATGTGTGACGTCATACCATTTGTAAGCAGCAGCTGACAGCAGCACAGCCTCTCAAACTTTGAAATATATTTTGCCCGAGAATGTAAAAACACATCGATAAAGATACAAGGAAAACTGTGGATTAGAGTACCCAGAGAAATAAATATCCAGAACACCTAGCTAACACTTTCTCAAAGGGATCCTGAATCTTTATCGAATGCAACTGAAATTTATATTTGCGAAGATCTCTTTGCAGTTATATTAGATAAAAGTTGCGTTGAATGACATCCAAAAAGGAAGACTGCGTAAGTGTATTTCTTCTTCTTTCTGATGCCTAACATCAAATCAGATGTACTTACATAAAAGTCTTGATTTTCCTCAGCTCTGCAGAGTGGAAATCTGGGTTGAAGGCAAAAAAATTACCAACCATCAATGTATCAAATTTATGCTTTCTGCTTCTACGTTTTTTTTTTTTCAAAAAAACGAGAAAACTCAAAGAATATATTAGTCCACGAGTGATCTACAGATCAACCTTGCTAAACCTTCATATCATCCATGCAATTGCCTTGAACTTTTTTCAGTACAAGTTCATTGAGCAACTCGGTGACACTCGCCACTGACTAGAACGACAATTCCTTGCTCATTCTCGAAATATAATGGCCCAATAATAAAAATTATATTTCTTTTAAATTCCATCTTGGACTTTTAAAAACTAAAATCGATATATTTAGTTTTCCTAAGCCAAATATTCTAATACTTGGGCTTGAATTCCTGAAGGGCAAGTTTTAGATCGTTTTTCAATGTCTCAGTTGTTTCTGGCTGGTTAGCATAACACTACTTATTCGATCTTAGAAAATGGTGCCCAAAAGTTCGATTGCTACATTGGATGTATGGCAAGTTGCTCAACCTTGCTAAACCTTCATATCATCCATGCAATTGCCTTGAACTTTTGGCAGTACAAGTTCATTGAGCAACTCGGTGACACTCGCCACTGACTAGAATGACAATTCCTTGCTCATTCTCGAAATATAATGGCCCAATGATGCCACTGGACCAAAAACCGAACTAAACAGTCACTAACTGTGGCAACATTGGCTTCTCGTAGGTGATGTGTGGCTTCACTGATCCCCAAGCGCGCCAAATTTGCTCTTCGAGGTGAAAATCAGCTTCATCTAAAAAGATAATTTTTTGCTAAAAATGCTCATGTTTCTAGAAGTTTGGGCTAACCAAAAGCGCATTTCATGAATGCCACACATAAAGCTGATGTTTTGATATCTCATAAGTGAGAGAGATTTCTATGTCTGCTTTACCGCTGTCTCAAGCTACAAACGCCAACCTGTACCAGAGAAGAACTTTGCGCCAACGTCTAGGCGTTCTTATCGGTTTAGTCAAATACAAAAGCATCTGACGGTCAATGATGCATGGAACTCCAAAGTGTAATACACTAAGACACGTACCTTTTCATAATTGGCGTCTCGATCCCAGTAGAGCGGATCTAAGACGTTCGCGCTTGCCTGCAATCCAGAACGGAAGCATTCAAACGATCCAGAATTCCACGAGGCAAATAATAATAGGTTAGGCTTCCGAGGCAGAAACTTCAAAGCAATGCCATAAATCCTGACTCTCACATGCTCAGTGCAGTCTAATTACCGCTACTCGTATGATATACTGACTAATTTCGGTATGTCTGTCCGTTGCTCCTGAGAAGAAGGCTGGAACGTAATTAGGCCGGGACATCGGACGTTCAGTCTTAATTTGTCTTAGAGTTGCTTCAGCAGATAATTAATTTAGACGAAAACGCCGTCGAGAGAGGATCAGTGATGGATAACAACGGAGAAAAGCTGATTACCTGTTGAGAACGAAGAAAGCTTGTACTTACCGATGAAAAAGCGCGGTGAAAAGATTTTAGTGGTATTTTTTACTTAGGAATACTGTAAATAATTCTGCAAGACTTAGTTAGAATACTTTAAATGTTCTTTAAGAATAAGTTTATGAAACAAAAGTCTTTACACACGTCACTAAATAACTCTCTGAAAAGGAAATTCTCAACTTTTCAGGAAAAGCACAACTGTCTTGTAATGCTTGCAGCATTCCTTCATAGTGCGTAGCACTCGGCTAGGTTTTCATACCTCCAACACCCCCCTTCAACCCCAAATACTTAACTCCTCCAAATTTTTTTCTAAACGTCAAAAAATGGAATTTAACCGATTTTTATTTTTTCGTGTACTTACGTGTCGCGCCATCGCCACGGAACCGTTTTCTCTTTTTTGGTCTTTGGTAGTCACTTCGTGTGAAAATCTAAATCCGAGGGCTACTACGCAACGGGTCAAGGATTAGCTGACAGAGAGACCGACGTAAATGAGTGACATGGTTTTTCGTGATGTACACGTCGTGTAATATCCAAAAAACATTATATATCATTTTCGAATGAAGTAAATTGATAGAATTACTGACAAAAAATCGTTTCAGACTTCCAGGAACTAGATGTATTTTTTTTTTCAGCGACAGGTAATCTGGGCCGAACAGTCGTTACAGACACAGAAACCCGTTCTCTATATTGTTGCTACAAATAGCTACTCAGATAGATTGATCGCAGAGCTATATTACTACAATTCCTTCCAGAAACTGTACACCCCCATCACTAGTAATAAGTGAGCATGCCAGAAAATCATTAGCAAACGTCCATTTTCGCGTTCCAGAATTCCCTTAATTGTATACACCTTTCAGGAAGGCTAAGGTAGTCCGTTAACGCCCTTTGCCGCTCCTTGTGCCGTATTTTCAAGAATTATTAATTCGAAAGTGACTGGCAGTGTCTTAAGTAAATTAAATATCGTAACAAAAGAGGTATATTAATAGTTTCAAGGAAAAGCGCATCCAAATAATAATCTCTTAGGCTTCTCCTTTACACACTATCTTGATTGAAGCTGGCGATCGATGTTTCTGAACCACTGTTGTTTAAAAAAAATCGATGTTTACCATGGATTGTCATTTCTGCATGACATGGATGTATCGACATCATTTTATACGATCCTTTGGATCGATGCTTTTGGAATATCGGCCACTTTTTTGAAATTTTGTGAACTGCTTATTTGGAATGTTAAAATAATGGGTGATTTTTTTGCTAGTATCTTTTTGGCAACACTGTTTTTGACAGATGACGCATGAATCGTGTCTTGTGTCATTGTCAAACTTGTTCAGTTTGGTCTATAATTTAACCATGAATCGACTTACGAACGTCAACGCTTGCATCGAGCACTGCTTCCAATTTATGGGCAATTTGGTCGATCTACTGATGGAGCTATTCGGAAGCTTGTGACTAAATTTCGAACCCAGTATACATTCTTGGACATTAAACCACCAACAAGCAGACGTAGAGTGAGGACTGAAGAAAATATTGCGGCTGTATCCGCCAGTGTTAGTGATGACCGTGAAATGTCGATTCGCCGCCGTTCGCAGCAATTGGGCCTCTGTTACTCCACTACGTGGAAAATTTTGTGACAGGATTTGGGTGTACAACCTTATAAGATACAGCTGGTGCAAGAATGGAACCTACACGACCTCCCATAACGTTTCAAATTTGGTGAATGGGCGCTGGCAAGGTTGAAGGAAGATCCACATTTTTATCGAAAAATTGTGTTCAGCGACGAAGCTCATTTCTGGTTGAATGGGTACGTTAACAAGCAAAATTGCCGCATCCGGACTGAAGACCAGCCAGAAGCATTGCAAGAGCTACCAATGCATCCCGAAAAAATCACTGTTTGGTGTGGATTATGGGCCGGTGGCATCATCGGGCCGTACTTCTTCAAAGACGACAATGGCCGGAACGTAACTGTGAATGGCGAGCGCTACCGTGCGATGATAACAAACTTTTTTTTGCCCAAAATGGAAGAGCTGGACTTCGCTGACATGTGGTTTCAACAAGACGGTGCTACATGCCACACCGTACCCGAAACAATGGCCCTATTGAGAGGCGAGGTCGGTGAACGGTTTATCTAGATCGTGTGATTTAACGCCGTTGGACTATTTCTTGTGGGGCATGTTAAGGCTAATGTCTTCAGCGATAAACCATCAACGATTGACGCACTGGAAGCCAATATTGAAGCATTTGTTCGTGAGATGCCGGCCGATATGTTAGAGAGAGTGTGCCAAAATTGGACCTTGCGCATGGGCCATCTAAAGCGGAGCCGCGGCCAACATTTACATGAA